GAAATCTCAGACTTCTGAGTCACAATTAGGTATGCAGTGTACAATAAATATACTTGAACAGAAGGTCAGTACTAGTCATTAGTCATTAGAGCACTCATCTTGCATAGGCAATATTTTGTATTACTAAATGCATTTGGTTTGTGCTTATAAACTCATACCTATTTTTCCACTTACATGAATACCATGACTAGAAAGTGAGTAAATTTTCTCATATTTTTCTGTTGCTGCTAACACATTAAAATTCAATGATCTAGCAAATAGATCTATTATGTGCCCATTATGGGTTTGCTTTATGCCAAATGCTTATTTCTTAAAATGGAAGCTATGACGGCAAAACCAGGTCTTCATGAAGTTATTAGACACATAATATCACAAATTTAAATGGCTTAAAATTGGAACTGTTCATTATTTTTTTCTGTCTACAAGGTTAATAAACTATTAGGGCACTTCCAAACAACAGGGACCTATAAAGAATGAAAACTTGCTCTTAGTTCATGACCAAGAGCAGAGATTTGAAATGTAAATTAAAAAAAAAGATTTAGGTACAAATCCTATATCAGTGCTGTGTTATTGGACAAGTCATTTTCATTCTCTAAGTCTTATCTTAATCATCTTATAATAAAGACACTTGTAATAAAGCTGCTGTGGGAATGAAATAAAATTATATAGGTAACAGGATTATAAATTCCTAGCACATAGTAAGCATTCAATAATCAGTAGCTATTAAAATACATATTATGGCCGAAACCGGTTTGGCTCAGTGGATAGAGCGTCGGCCTGCGGACTGAAAGGTCCCGGGTTCGATTCTGGTCGAGGGCATGTACCTGGGTTGCAGGCACGTCCCCAGTGGGGAGTGTGCAGGAGGCAGCTGATCAATGTTCCTCTCTCATCGATGTTTCTAACTCTCTATCTCTCTCCCTTCCTCTCTGTAAAAAATCAATAAAATATATTTTAAAAAAATACATATTATGAATCATCTTAGTAACTCACTAGCATGTGTAAAATATAGAGGCAGCCTTGCATTTTAAACAAATCATAGAAAAAATTTTAAAAAGAAAAACTGTATCATCAATTTCTGGGAAAAGCTCAAATCATTGGAAGAATTTTTTTAGAAAACTATTCTGTCATCATGGTTCACTTAACGTATAATGTAGGAGGTGCCATTATGGTTTGTCAAAAGCAGACACGCGGCTGGTGAAAGTAAAAGCCTAATAGCTTTCAATAAGTAGAAAGAAATTGTAGAATCAAAATGGTGGTCAACCACCTTATTTTGGAGATGAGAAAACAGGCAAACAGAATAAAAATGAAGGATACAAAGACATATTTTATTCCAATTTTCTTTTCATAATTTAAAATTTGGAAGAAAAAATATAATATTCTTCAGTACTCTTTAGACATTTTTTTTAAATTTCATGCCATGTTCTTTAAATGTACAAAAGGGAAACCCACAAAGAGTTGAGGTAATCTATGCAAATACTGCATGGATATTAGTGACATTCTCATACTACTTTCTTATACTATGATAAGATGTTTGAAATTTGACCTCTTGTTCAGGGGTAAATTCCTCCTTTTTCCTCTCTGATGATACTTACATTTACTTTTTTACATAAGAATTCTGAAAGAAATCAATGGTAGCTCTAAGCTAAAATTTGAGACATTTTATGATAGTAAGATTCATGGTATCCTTTCTTAAAGAGTGTAGTCAAACTCACTGTTTTCTGATGAGGTTTTGGTGCTTTAAAGTTATCAATGTTGGCCTTTCATCTTGCAGATTTAAATATTTTTTAACAGAAGAAAAATCAAATTTTAATACATATTCATGGGGAATTCAAATATGCATGAATAGTCCCTCAGTAATTTTTTCAAGAGTTTTGATCTGCGTATCTGAGCACTGTTTGCGTATAAAATACATTATAAAATTAATACTACATTAATACTAAAGAAAAGTGCTCTCATGCTTCTGGGCCTTAGTGCTACAGTGAAAACTAGTTATGTCCTAGTTTATGAGAAATTTTAGGCTTTTGGTGTTTGCTTGTCTAATGAGCTCACAAGAAATATTACCTACACTTTGGAAAATCCTGGGTGCTTTATTAATTGTTCTTCTAAATTGGCCTATCTCAGGTTACTCTGTCCTTGGACTGCTAATTGTTCCTTTCTCTGTGTTCCCATAACACTCTATTCACACCATTATTATAGCACAAGAACAGATTTCCATATAATTATCTGTTTACATTTTATGTCTTCCCCACTAAACTTGGAACTACTTGAGAGCAGAAACCTGGTATTCTTTAAACTTAATAGACCAACACCTAACTCTGGCGAGGATCCAGACTATACTTGGCACATGGTAGTATCCTGCACTAATACAGATGCCTTGAAGTTTATTACCTTAGCCAGTTCTCATGGATCTAGTTAAAATTTTTTGTGGTAATAAGCTATTTTGGGATGGATGGTAAGTAGAAAATTATCATTTATTGCATGAATGTCTACTGTTTGCATTGGGTATTATATGTCATTCAATCATAATAACACTTGTAAAGTGGTAGCATTCTACACCCTCATTTTTTTATGTTAGGATGTTTTCTCTCAGTAAGGTTTATAAATCTGCCCAGTTCACAAAGTCCCTAATGGAATCAGGATTTAAAATAATAATTTTATCCCCAAAGCCATTATGTTATCATACAATCTTATGTTATCATACCAGCCATACCTGATCAAGTCAAGGTTAGGGAAAGGGTGAGGGTGGCATTTAAAAGCAGAACCAGGACACCTTCTAAAAGGACAAGGCACGTGATAATCACAAGGGAGTAAAGTGTTACTCATAAAATAATGGAAATATTTTTTTTTTTATTTCAGGTCTTTAGAGACCATCTATTGGTTGATTGTTTATTCCATAGTATGTGTCAAATATTATATCGGGATATGAAGATTAATAAGAAGTTGTCTCTAATTTCAAAAGGAGTTTACTACCATAGTGGAAGAAGATAAAATTTTAGTCAAACACATTTTCTATTATAGGGATTATAAGTATCTATGACACACATAATATAAAAGAATATTTAAAAACATGAACACTGGCATCAGACAGATTTGAATTCAAGTTCTGACCCTGTTATTTATATGACTATAAGATCTTGGACAAATTATATGATCTTAGCAATGAACTCTTTAGTTGTAAAATTGGAAAAGTATACTAATTCACTCATATGACTGTTTTATAAGTTAACCTAGATGTATGTCTTTCGTGTCAAAAGTAACTTATTATTACTAGTTATTATGTACAGGTACACAATGTTAGGTACACCATGTTAACTAGGTGATTACTAGGTAGACAAAACAAAGGAAAACTTTCAAAAGCAGAATCTTATGAGAAAGAAAACAGGTGGTTGGGTTTTATTTAGTTAAAAAAATGAATGAATGATTAGGGGTTCTCTGATAATTAGCATACATTGGAATTATATAAGTTCCCCAAAGGCCACATCTTGTGCCTAAAGGAAATAAGAATGAATATGAAGACTTTTTCATATAACCAAATTTCTTACACATTTATCTAGTTTGCAGTTGACAAAACAGGGGAAAGATACTTTGAACTCACCCATTTCTAGTTAAAATATTTTTAAATCCAACAATTATATAGAATTTGAATAAAATTGCCAACAATTGTGTTGACAAATAGCTTTCAACTGAAAGTGCAGAGTAAACTAATCATTTCAAATGAGTAGATAGTGAGTACGGGTGAGTATATAATGAAATACAATCATATTTTTGCATTGGTGAGATTGGTGAGCATGAATTTAAATGATATATGATAAACTAAAAAAAATATTTCTATAGAGAGTCAGGCTTCACTAAACAATCCATTTTGTAGAATCCTCTAAATGTGCACCGAATACCCAATGCATGGTCAAATATTACTCACATTCATTAAAGTTGAACTTGCATTGTACTCTACTGATCTTCACAATGCACCAGAGTCACTATATTTGATCAAGCATTTAGAATTTTTTTTTTTAAAAAATCATAGAATATTTACTGTTTGGAGCAAGATAATCTACCACTCCTACCACTGTGATAGCAACTTAGTCCTTGGGTCTGGCTGATGTCTTCTCTGACCTTTCATAGGATGTCTACAGGAAGATTAATTCATGAACTTACCTTGGAGTTAAGCCTATTATCCAATTGTTGAAAGTATTAAATACATTTTTAACCCAAATATAAATTCAAAGTACCTTTTCTTTAGCTCCAGGGGACTGATCTTTTCCCTGCTGAATTAGGAGAATATGAATAACTCCCTTACTTCACTGATATTTGAAATTTGAAATTATAGACTGTGATAAAGTACCCATTAGTCATCCTTTATGTGGCCTCCTAGAGAGATGTGGTACCCGCTCAACATTTTTCTACTTTTTATCACTCAACCTTTTTGTCCTTTCTGCTACTTTCCCCCCTCCAGGCTTTTTTTGTCCCTTTCGTTGACCTGCAGGGGTTTGGTCTGTATCACAATATCCCTTCGATTGTCACACTAGGAGTAGGTGACCCTTGCTATTCATCAGCTACCCAGCCGCTTTGTCATATGGTCTTTGTATTGTATCTCTCCCCGCTGTGTTTTTCTTCCTCTGTAGTGCTAGTGATACTCAAGAGATGGTTTAAGTGCCCAGGGTCACATTCCAAAGCACTCAGAATTGTGTCTATTCTTATGACTAAAAATTCATTTGACCTGAGAATGAGAATACAGTTGATTTCTTGCTTCTAAACTTGTTCCTATAGTTTTAATGGGGCAAAGTCTGGAGGGCCAGCATACTTTATAAGCACTGTTTAAACGGGAAGACTTTTTGAAGAATAAGAAATTATTTTCTCAATTCTGTCTTTCTTAGATTACCTTCTGAATTTAATAAATATTTGTGGAAAATGTATGCATGTATTATATGTAAAGCATTGGATCAAGTGGTGCAAGGATTAAAATATTAGTAGGAAATCTGATTTTTGAATTGTTTTTCCAGGAATGAAAATGTGTTTGGGCTGCTGGAGTCATATTTCTTCACCTGGTCAACTAAGTATCCAGTGCTACAGTAGTTTGAGAGGTGTTATATATAAAGAATAGCCCAGCCTAATTCTAATTAAGTCTAGAAGTCATCATTCACTACATAGATACAAATTATCTGAGTTGTCTAAATCTCTTTGATTTATCTGCAAAACTGCAAATAATAATAATAACAATACTTAGGTTATTGTTGAAAGGGTTTAATGAGGTCAGTTATGCAAAACACCTAGTGAGGAAGCACTCAGTAGTGCTTGCTATACTTATTTTTTCTCTTTTATTTCTTATATATAAATTTTTCTACCCTTCTCAAGGATATTTGCTCTACATTGCCTACTTCAAATGTTCTTGCTCTTTGAGCTCAACTTCATAGCTCACCAAAATATCTTTTTTTTTCACGCAGCTACATCCTGAAATTGTACATTTACAGAATTCTTCACTTACTATTCAAGCTTATGTTTGCCAACCATTATTTTTTCTAAACAAAATAAATAATAAAATATTATCATTCATCACTTTTTAAAATATGGACTTTAGTGATTTTTATTTGTTTACTATTGGTATACACATTTTAGTATTTTGCTCAATTATTCAGCTTATTTTAAGCAATACAATTGCAAAACAAGAGAATATTTGTATATAGTGTTATTTTAAAATAGGGTTATAGACCTTGATATTTTTATTTTATTTAAGGAAAACATTCTATTTTAAAATTTCTATTATAATTTTTTCTATGTATACCTCTATAACAGAAAATGTGTTACATTTATGAAAAATATGATGGAAATTTTTCCTCTCACTTATTTAACTATTTCTTTGTTCTTTATTTAAAGACTTGTATTTGAAGGGAAACTGCATTTACATTGGAAAATAATATAGAACTTCTATTGCTTGTTGTAGTTTCCCATGGTTTTAGTCTTTTCTCGACATGTACATGGCAATATCTAATTTATATATCCATAAATATTTATAAGAATAAAAATATATAATTTCATTAGCCTAAGGCTCTCAAAATACAGCAATAACTAATGCAAAAACAAGAGAGTTATTTGTCTAAAGGCTATCAGAAAGAAATCTAAGGATTCAATTGGTGTATACTCTAATCAAAACCAATGCATATTTAAAAACGTGAAGTAGAACAAGCTCAAAATTATGTTACAGTGAACATTTAATTGACAGATTTATTTTACATTTGTGCTTTAATTTTATGTGAATTAAAATATAGTATTTTCATACATTGTTTTGTATCATTCGCTGAGGAACCCTGGTTCAACTTGTGAATCAATATTTCTGACCAGTTCCCATAAGGCATCTGCAGAGACATATGTTTACATGCTACCTGCTATTCTAATGAATAATGATCTTTTATGAAAGGTTTTATTTAAATATATATATTATTGGTATTGGAAGGTAGTACAACATAGTTCTTCAGAGTTTTCTATAAAAAATAAATATTACTGAATATTTGTTTTATTTAAGATATTGGGATAGGAGAGAATGATTAGGCAGACCTGCCATGCACCTAGCTCCAGGATCCGTCTGGAAATACAAATAAGTTGGAGAGCATTCAGCTGGAATTACCAACTGAGGTCCAGCTGAGGAGGAGACATATCAAGGAAGGAACGAAAACACCTGGAGACCAGTAGAAAGGGTGAGGTTGTGAGAGGAGGTGGCCCAGCTTCCTGGGGCAGCAGGCCAGCAGGCCAAGAGTAGGGAGGGAGGACTGAGCTATGGGAGAGTCTGTTCCCGCAGAAGATAGAGGCCCAGAACCATTGCCAGACTCCACAGCTCAGAGCACCAGAGCCAAACCTGTGGCCCAGGCAACATCCAGCTGTGAAAGGCAGCAGGGCTATTGGCCGGAGTGGAACCTGTAGCCCGTAGACCGGAGCAGGTTGGAGAGAAAGCCGCAGTTTTATTGTGTGTGTGTGTGTGTGTGTATATATACATATACATATATTTATATATTTTATTAATTTCAGAACGGAAGGGAAAGGGAGAGTCATTTGCAGCTACTCTCCTGAGGGTCTGGTGCAGGGAGGGAGGTGCGAACTTGAGGTGCCAAAAGAGAGAATGGGATGGGAAGCATTTTAGGGAAACGGAAAAGCAGCAGCCATTTGGTAATTCATACACACCCAACCCGAAATGGCCATTTATCATGGGATGAGCTAGCCCCTCTCAGTAGCCACAGGCAGGAAAAACAAACAAACAAACAAACAAACAAACAAACAAACAAACAAACAAAAGGGTGACTCAGGCTGATGTAGCAGCCTGAGTCACCCTTTGGTGCCCTGCCTACTACACCCTGCATTTTGACCTTTTCAGAGGAAACAAAAGCAGAGCCCATGCCTATGGGTTTGAACAGTTCAGGAATATCAGTGACTGGATTGGGGAAGGGGCTGTTTGCCCTACTCTCCTGGGAACCAGACTAGTACTTTTCCCGCATAGGAGAGCTGATAGAAAGTCTAGGTTTCCAGCTGATCCCACTGTATTGCCTACAAGAATCTTGGCCCAGCTAAGAGCAGGGTAATATTTTGGGCCACTTGCAGAGGAGCACCTCTGGGATAGGGAAGCACACCCACCACATTCCCTGAAATTAAACAGCACCGCCCCCACCTAAAGCCCTGTCAGAAACAGATTTTGATTGATTAACAGCTGGCTAGCAGGCAGCGGCAGAATTTGGAGAACCAGGAGAGGTTTGCTGACCCAGCCCTGGGCTCTGTGCTGCTAACAAACTTGTTTTAGAGGGCAGATTGGCTCCTCCTGCCTGCAGCTAAGTCCTGTGGAGACAGACACACACTTGGAGCTTCAAGCAGGTTACTGAAAGCCAAAGGAGGGCTGACTTTTGACAGTGGTTAGCACCAAAATATCCCATGGGAAGCTCAGAATGGGCGGCCAGAACGGTTAGCCACAATCACAAGAGTGGGCCCCAAAGGGAGCTCCCAGGGGACAATAAATGCACCTGGAAGGAATGCCTCTTCCCTTTCTGTTTCTCTCCCTTTAAGATCTTTTCTCTTTCCTTTCTTGTTTCATTTTTTATTTATCTCTCTGCTTTATTTATTTTTTATTATTCTAGTCTCTATTGTTTTATTCATATATCCAATTTTGCTTTTCCTACACAATCTTTTTTTCTTTTTGTCTCTCTTTTCCTTTTTTTCTTGCTATCTCATCTTTTTTCCCTTTTGTTATTTTTGGTCTATCTGCTTCCTCTTCCATTTTCCTTTTCAAAAAAACTTTCTGCTTTATTTTCTTCCTCCGCAACAACTGTACAGCGTAGTCAGGAATGAGTCACATAGTCAGCCTGAGAGGAAAATCCATCCATGAATAAGACAATAACATTCAAGACCCAATTACAACAGACTAACCCAAATAACTCAAGCAAGAGACTTTCCTAGAGCACACAACTCAGGAGATCTAAGAGGACGTACCCATTGGGTCCAAAAACAAAACAAAACAACTACATAACACCACCCCACAAAGTCTGACCTAATACATAGAAATAAATACAAAGAACAGAAAAAGTGGGGAGACAAAGAAACAACCCCAAATGAAAGAAAATGTTTTTACCTAATTATTTCAGGCCTTTCCAATTCCAATTCCATATATATATAATTGATCTTTGGAATTTTTTGTCATTAAGACTCTATTCCGGAGAACCGAAGATGGCGGCAAAGGTTAACGCCGGAGATTGCTGCCTTAAACAACCAATTCAAAATTAAGCCTGAAAAAGGGAATGGACAACATCCAGAACCACAGGAGGGCTGGCTGAGTGGAAATTCTACAACTAGGAGTAAAGAGAATATCATATCCATATCCAGAGGAGGCGCAGT